TCCCTCAAAGCTTGTATATATTTCAGAAAAACAGCGGAGACGCAGCTGAAGTGCGAAATCGTTAAATTTCAAGTTCCGCCCGGTGTTCGGCACGTTCCGTTCTCTGCCCGACACAGTCAGCAGCATTCGAGGAGAAGTAGCAGCAACCCCCGCAAAAGCGAACGAGCCTCGTGCACTCGTCTTTGCCCGGCCAACTGACAGGCCGGATCGCGTAAATCAATTTTCAATTACGGCACAGCCAGGCGAGCAAGACGGCGTAACGGACCGTCGAGGTAAGGCAAAAGCGGCGCGAAGCGGAACAACAGGAGCCATCGCCACGTGGTCGATCGCTCGATCGGACGATTCGTTTCTGGCGACTGGCGCTCCCGCTCCACTTCGACGACCAACCGAAAACCGAGAGCTAATGTCCGTAACGGACGAATCTTCCATTCTCTTCGCTTCGCGTCGGGAAGAGTGAAAAGTAGCAGCGTGTTCGAACGAAACGGATCGCTTCGACGAAATTCACGTGCCCACCGTGGAGCGTTAATCCACCCCTGCCCCTAAATTGAAATCTCCTCGCTGCAACGAGCTAAGCAAGGACACTTTTATTTTTAACGATCGTAAAAATTCAGGCGTCTCTGAAGAACTTCTTTGTCACGGCAACGAAGGTTGAAACTTTTTCTTTGCAATGGATACTTAAAATTTGCCGCGCGATTCTTTTGTCGGCAATTTGTCAAATTTGTCAAAGGTCGGAGTCAAGTGGCAAGGATTCAAGGAAATTTCAGCGCTTTCGTCCTCCGAAAATGTCGAAAATTTTTTTTGAATTTCAAGATCGAAATCTTCTCTTTACGACGACCCCTTGAAATTTGCTGTATGATTTTTTATTCGTTTCATTGAACTTTGTTTTCATATTTATAGTTTTATATTAGGATAAACAAAGGACAAACATTCAAGAAATTTTAAAACATTTCGTTCCTTTAATCCTAATCTTCAAAGTTCAATGAGAAAATTTTTTCAACGATTCTTACAATTTTCAAGAATAAAAACATCATTGAATGAAACAAACCAGGACCGTCAAAGTGAAAGCTTCTCGTTTCAAAATGAGTCCAAGTAAACATCCTTTTAGAAAGTTTTCATCACGCTTCACCAAATCTACGTTCACTTTGCACACGCGTTACAGTCACAAAAAAATCACCTGGATTTACAAATTTACAAGTTACATTAATTAATTAATCTATAAATTTCAGAATATCCCTTTCCTAAATTGACAGCGTTCCACTTCTTCCGGCGCGTCAAATATCTTTTTTTTTTTTTTTTTTCAAAATCATTTTTCTCAATAGCATCAAGCACCTGTTTCTTCAGAGTACGTAACCATCATCTTAATTCGATCGAAATCGATCCTGAAGGGTGCGTGAGGAACAACGGTGACGGTTACATCTTCAGTCCACGAGCACAGCTTGAAGAAGAAGGTCGACGAGCAGGGGTGGGAACAGGATGGTCGCCGGGGCCAGCCGTTTAACGTAGTTTCGGTCGTTCGAGCGGCAAATCCATCAGGCGGCTGCCTCGGCATCGCCATCCCCCACGGGGCGGATAAATACTTATTTAACGCGCTTATGCATGCAGCCGCGGTAGCGATACGACCCGTAAATCTGTCCGAGGAAGCACAATGCTGCTAATTATA